ACTGTGACTGGCTCTGTGCACCAGCTCCAAGCCTCGCTCTGTCTCTCACTATTCACATACACACACTGTGACTAGCTGTGTGCACCTGCTCCATGCCTCGCTCCGTCTCCCACTGTTCACAGGGACACACTGTGACTAGCTGTGTGCACCTGCTCCAGGCCTCGCTCCGTCTCCCACTGTTCACAGGGACATACTGTGACTAGCTGTGTGCACCTGCTCCAGGCCTCGCTCCGTCTCCCACTGTTCACAGGGACATACTGTGACTAGCTGTGTGCACCCGCTCCAGGCCTCGCTCCGTCTCCCACTGTTCACATACACACACTGTGACTGGCTGTGTGCACCTGTCCCAGGCCTCGCTCCGTCTCCCACTGTTCACATACACACACTGTGACTAGCTGTGTGCACCTGCTCCATGCCTCGCTCCGTCTCCCACTGTTCACAGGGACCCACAGCAAAGCTTGCTCTGCTACTCACAGGCTCCACAAACTCAAACTTCTTTCTTTCTTGGATCTCCTGGAGCTTGCACACATATTCCAGAGAGAGTTCGTAGAAGTGCTGCCGGGTCTGCTCCACTTGGAGATCTGCCTGTATTAAAACAGCTGCTGTTAGCTGAGCCAAGACAGGGAACCATCAAACCCAACAGCACAGGTCAATGAATCCCAACCCCTGGGCACTACATTCATAAACTTGTACTAGAACATGTGACTGGTCGCACATGATTCACTCACGGATACTCTCCTGCCACGGGAGCATATACGGAAGTAAAAAATGATCCTCCCCAGACTCTAAAGAAAAGCGTCATGACCCCCAAAGACTGAAGATTACAGATTCCACTTCCTCATGGAACTGGGTCAAAGGTCCCACCAACACTCACGAGCAAGCCCTCTAAGGATGAGATGGGCCTGCCACCGTAGACTGTGAAACTCCACTTAACTCACACTGAGAGGAAGGAATGGAGGGAGGGAGGCAAAACATGGCAATATTGCCAGCATGGGTGAACTGTTAGGCTCTCATGATGCAATGCATCAGACACAGAAACACAGACTCCAAACACGTAAAACACCTAAACCAGCCAGGCAGAGTGACAGAAAGAACGGCGGTACTGCTGGGAGCCTTGGGAAAACCACAGCTTCACAGGAAACGGTTTCTTTACGCTCTGGAGACAGGTGGGGAATGGCTGCACAGCCAAGTAAGGCACTGAGTCAATGACCTTGTGCAGCTCAAGAGGCTAAGATGAACAGAAGACAACTGTTTACAACAGACTTCAGAAGGTTCTAAAAGCACGTCTAATGTTTGTCTAGTATTTGGTTAAAATGCTTTACGTAAAATAAAGTGTAAATGAAAGGTAACAAAATGAGAGTTTCTACCTAAAAACTCTTGACTGTATGTCCCCAGTGATCAGTCTGATTATCCACAGCCAACAGTGTAAGCCACAGCTGAAACCCTGAAATTGTGTTGAGCAGTTAAGAAACTTCAGAGCTCAAAGGGGCGACTCCTGCACGTTACCATCGCTGGGGATCACTACATGCAGAGCGGCTCGACCTTCATTGCTCTTCCTGTGCCCTCCCCTCACGTTGCTGGCCGCCTTCCGCCACCTACTTCAGCCCACTGGACGTGCAGAAACTATGGGGCCACCACAGTGCCCAGGTCACAGCTCGCTCACAGCTCACATTCCAGTTGTGCTTAGGGGCAAAGAATGAATGCTTTTACAAGTGTGAACACACTACAAAAGTGGTCAGCACGGTGTGAACACACTACAAAAGAGGTCAGGACGGTGTGAACACACTACAAAAGTGGTCAGCACGGTGTGAACACACTACAAAAGTGGTCAGGACGGCGTGAACACACTACAAAAGTGGTCAGCATGGTGTGAACACACTACAACAAAAGTAGTCAGCATGGTGTGAACACACTACAAAAGTGGTCAGCACGGTGTGAACACACTACAAAAGAGGTCAGGACGGTGTGAACACACTACAAAAGTGGTCAGCATGGTGTGAACACACTACAAAAGTGGTCAGGACAGCATGAACACACTACAAAAGTGGTCAGCATGGTGTGAACACACTACAACAAAAGTAGTCAGCACGGTGTGAACACACCACAACATCACTGCTCAGCATGGTGTGAACACACACACAACAAAAGTAGTCAGCACGATGTGAACACACCACAAAAGGGGTCAGTATGGTGTGAACATACCAAAACAACACTGCTCAGCATGGTGTGAACACACACAACAAAAGTGGTCAGCATGGTGTGAAACCACTACTAGACTCTGTTCTTTAAACAAGAACTGAGAATGATGACCATATCTTTCTGTCCCTCTGCTCAGGGTCATCCTCAGCAACCTTAGTTAATCTCTTGAGCTAAAGACAATTCACTCAAGATGAGCCACACATGAGCAGCTTGCAAAAGCAAGGAGCATCCAAGACCAAACCTTCTCCTCTTTAGAGGCCTCCTCCTTTTGATGTGTACGTGCTTGCAAGAAGGTTGTTTCAAATGGGAACCTATTGTTTATGAAGAGTACACAGAACAAGAGAGAAAATATGCTCTACTGAAATGGAATTGAATCCACTCTTCTTTGGGGCCTCTCGCAGTTTAATGATCTTTGGGATTAGGAACACTTCATACAAACGACTCAGGCTGACAGGTAGTATTCTCAGCAGACAGGGACTGAATTTAAGCAAGATTGCAGCCTTCAAAGGGCTCACAACCATTGAAAGAAGCCATGCAACCATACACAGGAGGAGTAAAGATAACAGTCGGCCAGCAGAAGGGCATCTTCACAGACAGCGGACGGTCCTCTACCACATGGCCTGAGTAAATGGTTCAGGGACCGTAACCAAAGGAGGCAGACAAGTGGGTCTGGGTTGGAACACACTGGACAGGGGTTAGGGTATGCTCAGTAGTAAAGTGTGTGCCTGGTGTGTATTAGACCTAACTTCAATTACCAATGCATCAAATTAATAAAATAAAAACACCATTCTAAGCAGCAGGGAGAAAAAAATGCAAAGAGCCCCAGCAAGAAACTGCCTGTCCTGAGAGGGCGGTGCAGAGCACATGGGCCTGGGCCCCCGGCTTCTGGAGGCACCATAAGCAGGGAGGGGAGGCATGCTGCCGGACGAGGGTGCCTCCTACACCTACACCGTACACAGGGAACCTTAGGAACAGGTGGCTAATCAGAGTGACGTGGAGGTGAAAACTGACTGGAGGCATAGACATCATTTCTAAAATGACTGAAAGTGGAGAAATGAAGAAGAGGGGTGAAAAAGAGCAGCTGCTGTCCTTGTAGAACAGACTCAGGGGAAGGGGGTGGGGGAGCCGCTGCAGGGCTTCCTATGTAGACTGTAACAAGGAAAGAGCAAAGGCCTGTGCCTCAAGCATTGTAGTGAGGATTAAATAATATAAAAGCTATTTTCTATTTATAAAGTATTAAATGTCATCCAAATGTCAAAGGTATAAGAAACACAAAAGAAAATGTCACTTGTAGAGTCAAACCAACAATACATGCATACACACAGTCTCTAAGTAAAGCACACAAGTTGGGTTTTACATTGTTATCATTTAAATATGTCAGGAGGTACATACATAATAGAACATGATGCCTAGGTTCGTGTGTGCTCAAGAACAAATGGAGGGAAGGCAGTTTGATGCTTCTGTTGGTAAGTCACAGTCCTCAACTGCATATCACATCATTGCTAATAAAACCCATGATCTGCAGCTGAAGAGACACTGGGTGTTCACAGGAAGGCACTGAGGTCCTCGGTAGCTGGGTGAGGATAGAGTGTAGATGACCGTGTGTGTGTGTGTGAGACAGAGAGAGGGGGGTGTCAGGGGTGTATGGTGGGGGTGGTTCTGTGTGTGCAGGTGTGCACATGTGTTCTCCAGGGTAAAGAACGATTTTTTTCTGAAAAGGAAGTGCATACTGTTCCTGCATAAGTTCAGTTCCCAGCACTTCTCTGAGGCAGCTCACGACCACCTGTCACTCCAGCTCAGAGGACCTGTGTTCTCTCTGCCTCTGTGGACACCTGCACACGTGTGCACAGATCACCCACACACACATATATAAAACAATATACATGCATGTATTATTTTAAAAAAGAAATCCTGTAAAAGTCTATATCCCCTATTGTAAATAACTGAAGTTTCTGGTCAAGCCTAAGAGACGGAGGAAAATTTCGAGAAATTTAGAGAGAGATGGGGAAAATGAGATGTAAGATACAAATTCCTTTCTGCTTACATACTGCTTTCAAAACCACCTGTCTAATAACACAAGTGGAACAGAGCCACCCAGCCAACAAGAACCTCCCAAGCTCTCAGTGTCTGCTTAGATTAATGCTGCTATCGCATACAGAAAGCTGTGTATGAGCTCATTCAGTTCCGTTCACCAAGGAGACTGAAAGCCAAGAGCAGGCCTACCCCTGCAAAGAAGCATGTGGGGGGCTTGTTTGCGGGTCATTTGGTTTTTAGTTTTTAGAAACAGGGTTTCTCTGCGTAGCCCTAGCTGTCCTGGAACTCACTCTGTAGACCAGGCTGGCTTCAAACTCACAGAGATCTACCTGCCTCTGATTCCTGGGGGCTGGGATTAAAGGCGTGTGCTACCATGCCTGGCTGTATAAATCTTTATTATCCTGACATTGCTCCTGTGAAAAACTCAAAGTCTAAAATTTACTACTATGGACCGATACTTAACCAATGCTATCAAGTTTATTCACTGCTGCCTCATTTCACTCTATTTTTAATTCACTGCAGTATCTGTACTCCCCGTGTCTATCAATCTCAGGTGCACTGCACATATTAAAAAGCAATGTGAAAAGAATACCTCTTGCAGATGAGAGTCTTTCTTCCTGGCAGATAGAGTCAAGTGTTTATCAATTAGACTGTAATTCTTTTCCGTCTCCTTGTCAAACTTCTTCTTCTCTTCCTACAAAGAAAAGCCAGGCAATGGTGATTATACATATCACATAAATCACATGCACAGTTAAATCTGCTGGAGGCTACAATATGAAGAACGGCTAAGAGTAAAGCAAGGAGATGTGAAGACACCGGGAGGCAGGGCCTCCTGTCCCAGACCCTGCTGTCAATCAGAGTCAGCACTGGGACCATGAAGACACTTCTCATGATCTCTTCCCAACTCTGCATGCGCACCTGAGTCTCGTCATCTCCCTCTTCTCTCACAAATAAGGAAAACACGCAAGAGTGGACGCAAGCTTTCTCAGGACTTTGCTCAGAGATGAAACTCACGTTAGACAGAATAAGTTTTCCATACACATTTTTACTTGTGATAATCTAGAACATCTCAGGGAAGAAAGTCACCAACAGTCCAGCTGGAATATAACAATGCTCAGCCCAGAACTCCTACTGAGTTTCCCAAGCCACTCAGCACAGCATCAGTTGTCAACAGACCCCAACAGAACACTGACATACTCAGAGCAATCTGCTTGGTGTATACACTTCTCGGGGACTGCCTAGAGTTAGAATTTGTTTTGCTTTTGCTATGCAGGCATTTGGAAAAAGGAGCAACCCAGTGTCTGTGGCTGAAGATGGCAGAGCAGCCCCTGCTCAGCTGAATCCACATCTACCAAACACTTTAAGCCTATTTTAAATGCCTCTGTGGTGGTAAAACTATGTTCATCAACACTAGAGTCCCTCAACTCTCCACCACACCTAGGCACATCTCCGTCCTTATTTTCTACTTTTTTTCTAAATCAAAGATAGTGAACTACCCTAGACTTTTCTCTAGGAAGGAACGAAGGAAGGGGTGGGAAGGAGGGAGGGAGGGAAGAAGGAAGGGATTTCTGCATCCTGTCACGCATGCCCCCACTGCACGGAATTACATGTCGAGTTCTGGAAGCCTAGGCCAGCACAGCCTCTGTGTCATCACTGAAGATCACAGATCCAACCCCACACTGATGAAGAAGAGATTCAGAAATTGGTGATTCTTCCCAATCCTAATTACCAACATGAAAAGCCTTAAAACAAAAATTTCAGGGCTGGGAAGGGACCCAGGTTCCTCTCCTAGAATCCAAGCAGAGGCTCACAGCAGTCTGTAACTCCAGTCCCAGGGGATCTGGTGCCCTTTTGTTGTCTGTGAGTGCTGTACACGCACGGAGCACGGACGTACATGTGCACAGAACACCCATACGTAGAAAGTAAAATAATAACCTCCCCAAATGTGTGCCAAGGAGAGCCTAACTATTCTTCAGAATGATCTGGGAATATTTTGCTGTGACTCATCTGTGGAGAACCCATGGTCCATGGGTTGTGGGGGGCAAAGCAAGACACAGGTGGCTTTCCTTTCGAACTTGTCACTCCTCTGCTGAAACAGAAGCACTTAGTATTGAAGCCCTTGGTAGTCTTTCTCAGTGCACAGCATTTCTGTAAGTGTAAGGTGCTGAGTCCAGTTACAGCTGGGTAGCATCTTTTCTGTTTCTCCTATACTTGTCAACTACTTTAACAGCAGGAAATAAAGCACAAGTCACATCACTGCCTTCTTGTCATCCCCCACTGAGAAAGCTGACAGTATGGAGAGTGTATTATGGTTTGGACGGGTCCTGTCCACATCAATGTGCTGCGGACCTACAGGACATTCCTGCCACTCTCTCAGGATCCGTCTCTCCACTTAGACAGCAAGGGCAAGCCATGTCTCTGCATTTACCACAGCAGGTCCACCATGCACAACTCCATCGTAAGGAGTAACCTTTGAGACTATTTTTGTTAGAACATACTTTATGTACATTTCTAATCTTGTTCAAGGTATGGTACCTGTGCAAGTCATTTAACAATGTAACACAAATCTCTAGCCCATGAAAGTTACTATTACCAACTAATTAAGATAATAAGAAAATGCAAGTTAGCAATTAGTCACCTATAACAACTGAACTTGTAGTTGTATTAGGTATGTTTTCAAGGTCAGAGATATAGTAGATAGACAGGTCATCTTTAAACACTTCAGAGATCTACAGAATATGGTATTTAAGATGTTTTAACAACATAGGTTCTTTTCTTTTTAATGACAATGAGACATGTTTGCTACTGGCAGCACCAATCTACTGGAGAGAAGATGATGGGCATCGAAGAAAGTCCACATAGAATTCTTTGTGGCAAAGGTTTGTCCCTGGTAAGAAAGTGCTCTTGCCCCAATGCTGACAGTATGCTGTACAAATTGGATAAGAGGACACAAAAGAAAGGAAGGACTGGCGAACTTTGCCAAGACAAAGTAGGACAGCTCTTCAGAATATCCTGTTTCATAGAAGAGTCTATCAGATATTCTTGGCCTACAGGTCAAAAACAGGTGTCCCAGTGCTCCAGAGGAACCCTGGGTGACTGTCCAGGCAACCAGCTATTTCTGTCAGTTCACATTTTTTGGAAGTCACTTACTAGAACTTCCTGCTTAGTCGGGTAATATTATTTCCTTCTTGGGTCTCCGAGGGAGTTGAGAACTTTACAGTTATAGTTTTCCTTGTTACCAGATTCAGAAAAGAAACTCATTTAACAGGTGTAAAGTGTATACGGTTGAGAGACACAAAAGATACGCAAGTTAGAATAGAACGTGAATTAGGTACAACTTTTGGACTCACCAAAATAGGATAGATATGGAGTATTTTCTCTGAATTATGAATTGTTAATGGACTAGTCACTGTTGATTTATTCATTGCCTGTATATATGGTATATAGCTATTGTACTTGTTGTATATAGTTTTTATGTTAGTTATAGCCTTCCTATTTAATTTTTAGACAAAAAAGGGGAAAGGTGGCAATATCTTGTTTGAACAAATGAAGCTTGCCTGAAGACAAAGACTCAGCAAAGTTTTACTTGCTTATATGATTCCATCCAAGTCACAGAACTGGATTCAGTGGCCAAAACCCCCAGCACACACACTCAGCAGCAGTGGGCATATGAGCTAACATGGGGGTAAAGCTGGGGATGAAAGAATATGCAGAACAAAGCTTTCTTAACTGCCTTATCTGGGAACCAGAGCCACACGCACCTCTGCAAAGAGAACCACTCGGGCTAGCAGTGTGCCATGCCCAGCACTGCCCAGGCACTGCCGCTGCTCACGACTCTCAACGAGAGAACCAGTGACTTCTCCCTGTGTTTATTCTGCATGCGGCTGTAGCACACTTGTTCCTTTGTGCTCACTTCATTTCTTGAGCTAAAATTATCTGAGCCTTAAGGACTGCAGCCAGGAGCTGCAGATAGGACACAATCTACTACAATGGGCAGCACAGTCCTGCAGTTCAAACTAACTGCAAGAAGCAACTGTTTCTTAGGAACTCAGGAGAGTCTGGGTCAGTTGGTCGTACGGTGAGGAGTGACTGGCTGGGCTTTAGCAGGCCAGACAGCCCTCCACGGGACTATCACAACAGACCCGAGCTTGTCTCTGTGTGACACACAAGCCAGCCACATATGTCATCTCTTCTGTCATCAAACAGCTGGAAAAAGAAAACCTCAACATGTTTTTATAAAACTCACTAAGCCAAGTAAACAGTTTACAGATTAAATATGGCTCACAGGATAATCTGTCATAAAATTGAACATGTAAAAAAAGTAAAGATCTGACTTAAAATAATAGTGAGGGACAAAATAAGACCAATATAAATGTAGAAATAGAATAGGAAATTTATGAACCTAAGACACATAACTCAAATTAGCAGAACTCTTAAATGTCATTAAAAAGTAAATTATGGCCAGGCAATGGTGGTGTACACCTTATTTCCAGCACTCAGGAGGCAAAGGCAGGTGGATCTCTGGGAGTTTGAGATCAGCCTGGTCTACAGAATGAGTTACAAGACAGGCAGGGCTACACAGACAAACCCTGTCTCAGAAAAAATAAAAAAGTAAAATATGTACAAAGGTGCCCTGCAGAAGGCATACCAATGTAAAATGCACTATTTAACTAGTGGGATTGGTGCAACTGTTTAACTGGGAAACAGAAACAGAACCCCACCCATGTCAGAATTGATTCCAGATGGGCTGAGTCACAAGTTACAAATGAAGCTATAATAAAGAGATTGCCATCAGATTTCAAAATAAAACAAAGATCATCTAAGCAAAACAAGTAGCAGAAGCCCAAAGAGATATCTAGATTTCAAAACACTGTACAATCCTCCAGCTGAAGGGGTACACACTGTACAATCCTCCAGCTGAAGGGGTACACACCGTACAATCCTCCAGCTGAAGGGGTACACACTGTACAATGCTCCAGCTGAAGGGGT